CAAGCTACAGCATAGCTGACACTGGGTTTTGGAATGTAAAAATAACCACATTTATTTAACTCCTCAGTGACGCATGAAAGCCAAATAAAACCAAAGGAACTGAACTCTCTTGGCCAAATAGTTCTGTTAAAGTTCCGTTTTGTTTTGAAAAGGTTTCTTGTTATTTTCAAGTCAAGAGGAACAGACAAATTAGTAATTGTTCTAAAGAAGTTTGCCCCTTTTTTTAAAAAAGCAAACAAAGAGAAACAACATCAACTCCTTGGAAGTGGATGAGTAGCATGGTGCACAGGAGGGCCATCGCCAGGCAGACTAAACCAGAATGAAATGCTCCACAGTTTGCTGTAGAAAAAAAATGCAATACACATAATTTTAATTATATATATACTCATATAGATGAGCTTCAAACACACACACCACACTGTGTGTGTGTGTGTGTGTGTATTTGAAGTTAATCTGCCCGTCCCTCGTTCCACCCCCCGCCCCTTTACTCCTGCTTTCTGTATGCCTGCCTGCCTGCCAGCTTCCCAAGCCACAGAGGAGTCTGTCTGCTCTCCGGACGGCTACCCTGCCCTGCATATCTCAGCCGGAGATCATAAGTCCCGGCAGCATTTGGCCACGTCAAGCGAAGGACCGAGCGGTTTGAGCACTCAGAGCACCCATGTTCAGCTCAAGCCTGAGATGTGACGTTCTAATTTTATCTCTCAGTTATTTCTTACGTTGCTACCACCCAATAGCTGAAGTTCGCTCCTTTCAACCAGTTGTCAACATTTTCAGTAGCAAAAAGTCAGGCTAATTAATCGCTGATGGTTTATTTTGCCTTTTAGGAAGCATCGTCTTCAATTTTGCTATGTTGATACGAAATTACTCCAGAGAGAATGAGTTTATATTTTTATTGCTTCATTTATCTAGGGTTTCATTCATTCATTTCCACGTAACAACCATTTGGTAAAGCAGGATGGTGCCCGGCTTTCCTTTGCCAAATGAACGCACGAATAGATACCTAAAGTTTTGATGAACGGTGCTCGTTAATTCTTTAAATATGTACACAGGCAGGTGTTTCGCTGGCTTTCCCTTTGTTTTAAAGGGCTGATTGATGGCACTTAGGGAGAAAATGGTGCTGGAATTTTGCTTTGAGACTTCTTGCTAATGCTCATATATCAGACAAGTTAAGGGAACGCTTCCCAGTGTAATAAAGTAAGTAGCAGCAAAGGGTCAGCCGTCTTCCTAGCGGGGAGAACACTCGCACGCGTGAACATATAGAAAAAGCCTTCCAAAGAGGCTGAAGCGGCGGCAGGCTGATTTAACAGCCCGTGTGTGTGTTTGTTCTCATGTCACACAATTTCTATATATCCAAAATTTAGATTCTCCCCCGAGCTTTGTTTCCACGGCAACAATGTCCGCTTAGCTACCCTGTTCCTCCAGCCTTTGCCGACACGCTCCACAAAAGCAGCCCCGTCTTGACATTGTGGCAGGTGGCCGCCCAACTTGCATATTGCGGAGTAATAAACCTTACACCTCTCAAAGGGACCAGCTGTGTAAAGCAAATGGGGCTTCTCCTCGGGTAGCAGAACAGGAATCAGAAGTGAAATATCCAACCCAGACTTCAGATTGAGTGGAACTCATGTATACCGGGATTCTTGTGTTTGGGGGTCAGACGAGGATTAAACGGATGCGTTAATGGGTAAAAGATGGCAGAAGCTGCTTTTCATGCTTGCTGTATAACTTTCGTGTGTTCTGGGAACCTGCGCATCCCAGCCAGAAGACCAGAAAATGCATTAATGTTTCACAAGAGCAGTGCAAGATATTTCTTCTTTCCCGTGATTTGAGTGGCAGATTCCCATGACAGCCGAATAAAAGAGCCCGGCTCATCTGTCAGGCTGTATTTTTTAATGCAAAGGGTTTTTCAGCACTGAAGCCTTTGGTATTCTTTCCAGATATCTGTCAGTCATCAGGAAAGACTTCATTTGGAAGGTAGCGCTCTTGATATACAGAAATTAAAGAGCGTAACGCATTGAAGCCAATCTTGTTTTGATTGAGTTAAAAAGAAGCTGTTGGTTTTGGATGGAGTAACAGAAGCCGTGGCAGCGATAGGATATTATTATAGCTACATCTGCATTGTAAATAAAGGCAGGATTTGAGCAGGTTCGATTGTCATGGCTTTCTTTGGGAGGTGCCTGCCAGAAGAAGCCGGCGGAAGCCTCCTCATTTGCTAGCAGAGGCCTGAGAGTCCCCTAATTGGGCTTGCAGTCATGGCTATCCTCGTTCAGAAGGTGGTGGAGCGGGCAATGAGGTGTGGAGAAGTGTGGGAATGAGGGCGAGGGATTTCCAGTGGTGGTGGAGCAGGCAATGAGGGGTGGCAGACGGTGGGCAAACAGCGGAAAACGGTGTGGAAATGAGTTCAAGGGATTTCACAACTTGGTTCCTAGAAGGGGGGGAATGTGAACTCTCCCCATGCTGGTTTCCAAAAGGTCACATGGCGTGCAAGGCACTTCTTCGATTCCTGTGAACTTCCTTTTAAAAATAAGGGAGGCTGCGCTGGTCTCCCACCTGCACACAGCCGGCCTGGTGCTGATGCTCCTGCTTTCTGCCTGGTACTTTGGGGGCTGCCTGGTCCATGGGTCTGGTCTGGGCCAGCCCTATCTTCGGCACTGCCAGTGGAGCTGGAGGTATAGCTGCCCATGACCTGCTGATAGAACTCTCCCTGAGTTTGACTTAGCCCTTTAAAAAGCCACCTGTCTCAGCCAGCGCCTCCTCGGACCAAGAATCCCAGAAGTTCATGCTGTGTGGAGCAAAGAAGGACTTTGTTTTGTCTGTCATGAACCTAACGCCAGCCAGAGTGATCCAAAAGTAATACGAGGGAAGAGAAACAACTCCCAGCCACTTTCTCCACATCCCCATGATTATCTTCCCGTCAGTTGTCTTTTTCTAAAGTATACCAAATACCTTCATTTTTCCTTACAGGGAACATCTTTGAACTTCTCAGTCATTTTGGTTGCTTTTTCTGCTCATATTTTCTAAAGGCTCTTTTCTGGGGCAGGCAGCCGAGGGATGCATGGCCTGTGGAGCTTGGCCTTCACCTTCTGAAGGCTTTGATGCGCAGCCGGAACACCCAGGAGCCCGGCTTCCTCACAGGCTCTCGTTTCCTATGTGTAACGCCTCATTGTGCAAAACCATGGCAGGGAGAACCAAGCAGATTTTTTTCTGTGGCTCTGAAGGCACTGTGTTCCTTCAGTGTTTCCCAGGTGGGCCCGTCCTGGCTCTCCCAGCTGCTTGATGGACAGAGCATCTGGCAAATAGGACGCCGGGGGGGAGACACTGAGGGTCTTCCCAGGCCCTGGTGCTGGTCTGGGAGCTGTGGGGAAGCCGGTGCCCCTGGGATTGGCCTCGCAGGAGGTCCTGTCTATTGGCCAGGAGGAGACGGTTCCCAAAGACAGAGGTTGCCCCACAGCAGGGCCCCTGAGAGTGGGCACTTACAGCAAGCTCACCTCCCCCTTGGGAAGAGTCATCCCTTTCTTCTGCCCCTCCTGCGGAAACTCTTTGCAGTGCCTGGCAGGTCAAGAGTGCGGGCACCGAGGCAACGAAGCCCACATTCTGCTCGTTCTGGTGGCCTTTGTCTGAGTCAGGCAGGCGATGTACTTGGGAGATGAACTGCGGGTGACTCATTTTTACCGATGGCTCTGCCGATTTGGTAAATGACATGCTTAGGGAATATTGCAGACTGTCACTGAAAAGGTCTGAAGGGAAACGGAAATCTATTTCCATTTCGGAGCTTTGGTTCCAGTCGAGTGACTTACCTTAATATACCCTGTTAGTAATTAATCAAGTAAATTACCACTCACTGCAATTTATGCGCGTTGCACTTTCCAAGTTGTTCCAAGCCTTGCTGAGTCAGCAGCCCCGTTCCCACGACTGTTCTGACTCATCCTTCTGCATTTGATGAGTAGGGTAACATTCGTTTTTTCTTTTTTGCAAGTCTCTCTCCGCACTGGCAATGTGGGCTTATCTCTACTGTGGTTCAGGGTGTCTTTTAAAGAGATAGGACATTCATGGTAGACATGATGCAGGTCAGACATGTAGGGTTTCAAGGCTGAACAGTACCCTGCCACAACTTCCAGTAGTTTTGGAGTTCAGTGGCTTCTTCAGAACCCATAGATTCAAAATAAATGTACTTCTACCTGGCTTGTTCTCATTACCCATAATTGAAACAAACCATTGTTACCCAGGTGCACCCACGAAGAACTGTGGTCTGTTTTAACAGCAGACACGAGAGTTTCCAATCTCCTTGTGGCTGCAAAAGAGAAAGAGAGGAGAGGGGTCGTATGTGTGAGAACCGTTCATGTGTGAGAACCTTCCACATAACGGGAAAATGATGTTTTCTTGTTAAACCTGCGATTGGCAAGGACTGGAGTGGAAGAGCATTAGCTTTCAACTCTGGGTTCTTTAGTGCTTCATGCAGGCAAGCATTCTTTAACATATATTTCCTTTTTCGTATGTGCTAATATAAGGTTACAGTTGCGTGCACATTTTTATGATTTAACTGCATAACTCTGGTTGTTTGCTGAGTGTATAACCTTTTTTAGCAGCGGCTTCCAAAGTGTGAAAAGTCCTCTTCCTTCTGATTTCCCCTTGATGATTCCCTTCTGTTCTTTAGAAAGGAAATGATAAACACTTCATTTCACCAGGCCTCTGGGGACTGTTTTTCGCTTCCCCTGTGGAACATTAGTTCCAAAGAATTAACTTAACATTGTTTTGTCTGGAATCTTTGTGGTTAAGCGCCCAGAACAGGGGGGAAGTGTGATAGAAAGGGATTCACTAGAATGCTTAATGCCAAACATTAAGTTTTCATATTCCTAACACCAACCAATGCTCCTGCCCAGGTCTGGAGAATTCAAAGGATATGCTGAGAGTCGGGCTGGGTGAGTTTTTCAAATGCCACTCACAGTAAAAATAACAATCCCACCCAATATAAAACATCCTTTGTGTGGACTTGTGTGTTGTAGAGGATTATCCCAGCGGGACGTGGCTGGGAGACGAAAACAACCCCGAGATGCGCGTGCGTTGCCCCATCACCCCGGCGGACATGCTCCACATCAGCACCAACTGCCGCACAGCTGAGAAGATGGCGCTGACCCTCCTCGACTACCTCTTCCACCGGGAAATCCAGGCCATCTCCAACCTTTCGGGGCAGGGCAAGCATGGGAAGAAGCAGCTGGACCCCCTCATGATCTACGGCATCCGTTGTGAGTATGCGCCCTGCTGCGGGGCTGGCTCTCTTGGCACAAGCACATTTTCAGGCATCGTTCTTGGACACAGAAGGGCGAATAAAAAGGCACAGCGATGGCTGGAGAGGCAGATGAAGATCTATACGTGGCATATACAGGTTAAAATGATTCACCATGTTTGCCCGGTCGCGTATATCACTTGAGGTATTCTTGCCATGAATGCAGAATGCAGTTGCCAGAAGGAGTTTGCTGATTGCTCTGTCAGAGTTCCCCAAAGTTGGATTTTAGTGTCTGCACGGGTTAGAAAGATGCCTCTCTCTCAACTAGTCGGAAGACTGAGGCCAACCAGGCCTTGGCAGGTGCTGGGTGCTGTGGGCTTAGTGCTTGCCGGAGGGCAGTGTGGACCAAAGTTTGGGGAAATCGGGCATACCAATTCCTCACTTGCTGTAAGGGAAGCCTGGAAATCAACGGCTCTTGCCATGGGTTTGTTTTGTGACTCCTGAAATCGGTGAAAATTGCACTTAAAACAGCTGCTCAAGATGATCAAATTCCAGCTTTGCAGTTCTGCAGATGTTGGAAGCTGCTTTGTTTTCTCTTACCTCCAGGCAGATGTTTTGCTCGCTCCTATTTAAGCCAAGCCCCTTGAGGACCAATTAAAGTTGCAATGTACTTGATGGCTCCCCTGTAACAGCATCCCAAACTCTGTTTTTGGTTCAGGGTGTCACTTTGCATTCTTGTTAGTTCGCTGCTCGAGAACGTACCCAGGTGTAGTCTGTGTTCCTGGTGGAAAAAGTGACCGAAACAATAAAACCGGGTGATAATAATAGCTGCATCTCCAAACACAGATGTTCTGCAAGTATTCAGGATAGCTGCAGATTGGACCTCTGTTTTGAGCTTCTCAAAACAGAGGGTGTATCTGGTCCGGCTGTTTTGGCCGCTGTGTCCAAACAGGACAGACTCATTTAGTTCCTCATCTCCACATGCGTGCATCATTTCAAACACTGACTCTTGCTCAAGTTCAAACGCAGAGAACCAGAGCAAATGTTACTGCTGCTCGTAAAAGTATGCATTCCACTGCTTAAGGGAGAGTGTAAACTGACATGCAGCTTCAGTGCCCTCCCCCTGGAGCTGATGCGTGTGCTTTTTTATCCCACTCGGGAAGGATGCTTAGGAGGCAGTGAACCCCCCCCCCCCCGGCCCAGTTAACAAGAATGCAGTATCTAGTTGGGTTTGGGCTCTCTGGGGTTCTTGGAATGGCCCCAAAGGATGAAGGGATGAGAAGGATCCTGGCTGGCCAAGAAGCAGCCTGCTCTGATAAAGGAATGCCACGGCAGCCTGAGCACGGAGCGATTGCCACCCTGTCCTTAACAGACCTTGCCGCCGGGCTCTGAACGGTCCCCCTCCCTACATATGGAGCGAGTGGGATGCAGGTCTCCAAGGCACCCTGGCCCAGAAGAGCTCCTCCTGGCGCTATTTCTGGCATGCCGGCGGCGTGAGCACTGCCACATGCCAGCCCCTCGGCGGGATCGTCCGAGGCGTCTTTTAGTCAAGTCTCCTTTTTCAGCTTGTCAGTGGAAAGATTTTTGTCCCTTCCCGCCTTCTGGGAAGAGAGCCCCCAACCAAATCTGTATTTAATCGAACATATTTCGAAAAGTATATGGTATTCTGAAGCCACACTTTCCAAATGAAGGCAAATATGCTTATTAAGTATTCATGATAGGCTGCATAAGCTTTCCCACAAAGCACTTATCTTTTGGGGTATGTGCTTTCGTTTGGTTGCGTGGTGTGATGGCACCGGAGGTCATGGGGAAAACATTTGGGCAATTAATCGATGTAACATGATTCAAGCAAACAGTATGGTTTTAAGCGGCACATGACATCAGTGATACTAAAATAAGGTTTTTTCCCGGGGGAAATCCGAGAGGTAGCATTTAGGAGTTTCTTTGTGATTGAAAATCTAGCTTTGGTCACTGTAATGTTTTACAGTGCTTTTTAAATGTCCAACTTGGATGTTTGAATGTGGAAAGCCAGCGTGCCAATACAGCGTGGCTTCTGCTTCTCAGAAATGAGGTCAAGAGCCACCTGCTTCTACAAGAATCTCATTCTGCTGCAGAATCTGCCCCAGAGACTTGTCTCCCGGTGCCCCTTCCTTGGTGGTGGTACCCCAATTGCGGCAGGCTCTTCCCGGGAGGCCTCTTCCGGTGTCCTCTCTGTTAGCGTTTGCCTGATCTTTTAGTAGAAACTGTTTTCATACTGTTCCTGCTGTTGTTTTACCATGCACTGTTTTCCCCCTTTTCTCTTTGCTCTGTTTTGGGGGTTTCTTTTAGGCTTCAATTGGCAAGTTTCATTACTTTGGAAACTGCTTTGGAAGTTTATCTGTTTGTAAGGAAAAGTGGAATGCATTTTAAATAATGCCGAGAGAAGTATTCCAGATTAACGTCAGGAACTGATGCCATTGATGAAGAAGCCTGCTATAGTTACTAGTACAGTCACAGGAAAGTTGCTTAAGAAATGATCCCGGCCCTTCCAGCAAATTCTTGAAGGATCTGCTTGACGGGGTGCACAATTTCGTTCTTATGCATGCTGTATTGATGGCTGGCGATACCATATTAGAGAAGATTGTAAAATGTCAAGGCATGCCTCCTGTGGAGAAATACATCTGAATATGTTCCTGTGGCGGAGGGAAGAGGATTTTCCTGGCGGGATCGCGGCTCTCCTCCTCCCTTATGAAGCTTTATAGTCCCCACCTGGGTGGGGGAGAAATCATACGTCGGTTTCTCTTCTTGCCGTGATCCGAGACAGGCTTCCGGTGGTCTCTTGCTGACCCTCTAAGGGGTCTTCAACCTATTTTTTCTTTAACTGAAAAGGATGAAAAAGTGTAGGGTGCACAGCTGTTTCCTTTGCTAGTGTCTGAGAAGAGCTTGTGCTCCCCCGTGCCTAGCGATTTCTGATGGCGCTGGAGTTCCACTTTATGTGGCAAACACGCTCTTCTCGAGAAAGCAGGGCAAGATCCCGTGTTATCTTGCAGCCTGATAAAAATTACAGCCAAGAAAGCGGCTACGGGATTTTTCTGGCGTGCCTGCATGGGAAGCACGGCAGCCCGGGGGATATGGAATTCTAGCACACGAGCGACCGATTTCCATCGCTGGGAACGTTAGGATTCCGGGCTGCTGCTTTGCTGGGCGGTCTGTTCCTGTCTCCTTCAGCGACACAGGCTGTTTTCAGAACTGGTAGGCAGCGCTTATTAACGGGAGACTAAGGTTAGGCGCCCTTCCTTTCTTTAAGTAATTTTGCCATGCATGAGTGGTTGGAATGGCAGAAAAGCACGAGCTGATCCTTAAACAAACTCAGATTCGCCCCTGCAAGGGCAGATCCCCGCAAAACCCCACAAAATGCCACGAAGCCGCTTGGCCAGAGCTAGGGCAGTGTCGTGCCCAGTCAGTCCGAGTTCTTGTTGGCGGGCTTCCAGGAGATGCAGCAGTCACACCGAAGGCAAAGCTGGGGGTGCCTTCCCAAGTCAAGGATGTGCATTCTAAAAACATGACCTCCGTCTTATCTTGTGCTTTGTCTGCGGTTTTGATTTAAATGTTTTTTTTGTACTAAGTCCTGAACATTTGTTCACATTCCCCCAAACCAGAGTAATATTAGTGAAGCACTATTGATGCACCGGCTGTAATCTTAATTTCCATGCTGCTGCGATCGACGCGGGGAGCTGTGCCTACTCCCCTGCTTTCCACAAAGCATCCCTGGACCAGGTGTTCCCACTGGAAACTGATCTGTCTCCCCGTTTCACAGCCTTTGCTTGCTGAACTGCAATGAGCGGTCAATCCAAGCCGGAGGAAACGCACGCCTGCCATTGCTGAGCCTCACCACTCATAAATCTGCACACGGAGCACTTGAATTCTGCCTGCAAAACCAAAACCAAAAGCTATTCTGATGTTGACCCTACTCTTTCCCTTTAATCAAATGCACTTGAAGCATCCTCGACCGTCAAATCTCTGTTTGGCTCACAGCAGATAAGGTTACCTACGTTGTTCAAGGCCACGTTCTACCAGACTGCATAATATTTATTTATTTAAGGCATTTCTATGCCGTTTGATCAGCACAACGTTCTCAGAAGGGTGCACAGAATGTAATTTTAAAAACATACCGAAGAATCAATTTAAAAACAGATTTAAAACAGACTCACCGCAGTAAATAATGACCACAGTAATAGTAACAACAACCACAACCCAATGCCTAGTGCTTATCACCTGGTGCTTTGAGAACAGGGGCACATGAAATGCAGGCTGGATACAGGTGCGGAAGGATGTCTGATCAACACATTTCAAAGAAATGTTGACTTTCCGTTGCAGTTCTAAGACAGTCGATTGGCATCAGGATTTCTTTTGTTCAGTGCAGGGCCATTTCCGACATTAGGGAATGAATTCTTCAACCTCTCTGTGCACATTTTCAGGGTGCGCAATTGGTTCCACCCTAGTGAATCCACCACCAACTTCTGCCAAATTTGAAATGCCTCGGGTTTCCTTCCAATCGTGGAGATGGGAGGGGGCAGGATTGGTCCCCTGGCTGGACCTCGCCTCAGTGACACTCCAATAGTGAGGGCAAGCTGCCCCCCCGCCCCGTCATTTGCATGACCCTTCCATTTCCAAAGCATCTGGCTGTTTGCATGTATTTTGTTTGCTGATACTGGCCAGTTACAATCTAATATTTATTTTGTTTCATTTATTGAATTTCTGTTGTTGCTCAATAGCCAAAGCTGCCTGGGTGGCTCACAATATTTAAAGCCATAAAGTACAATTGGATAAAGCACAAAATAAAAGTTTTAAATTTTGAACTATAACAGAGAATAAAAAACCGAAAGAAAAAAACCGAGCAGTAGTGCAAAATGCAGTGAGTTGAAATAAAGGCAGCAATATCTGGAAATAAACAAATCATTGCCAGTGATGTTTTGGGTCCCCCCCCCCCCCGGTTCACCATCATTCAGAAATGCCACAGCAACTAGAAATTTTACTTTT